TGATTTCAGGCATTTCTATTTATAGACAAGCACCATGATGAATATTTGACATTTAAAAAACTTATTTTTATAACAACTGATTACTACAGTATTAGTTAGTATTTATAATTGGTTTTGAAGTAACAATGTAATATGACTTTCTTATTGATGTAATATTAAATGTTTTACACAGTATTTAATAGTTGTTAACACAGTAGTTACACAGTAGTTAACAACAGTTAACTTATCATGTTGACACAGATGAGATTTAATATAAAACTTAAACTTGAATTTACTAAAATAACAAATATGGTTAAATCTTTTACATGGAGATTTTTAATTAATATTATGTTATACAGTAATAAATACAAATTCATTTTGTTTATGACTTGTCCAGTGGTTTAATAAACTTATGTTACAAACATGATTTTAACAAATAATTTAATTTCTATTTCTATAGTATCTATAATATTTAATTATATAGTAAATGGTGTTGACGTTAATACTACATCGGGTGTAGTGAGGGGTCAGACACTCGTCGCACAAAATAAAAGTATTGACCAGTTTTTAAACATACCATACGCTGACCCGCCAATGGGAAGCCTACGGTTTGCAAAACCACTGCCTTTACTAAAGCCAAAAAAGGTAAGCCTACAAAATTATATTATTTAATTTATTTATTATTTAATATTTGTATGAATAGGATATAATCGACGGCACAAAACAGGGCAACTCATGTATACAGAACCTAACGCCAGGTTTCGGTAAATTAACGCTAAGTGAGGACTGTTTGGTACTAAACATATGGACACCTAATGTGGGAAACAATGACGAGTCAACTGAAGCACCGGCACTAAAACCAGTCATGTTTTGGATTCATGGCGGGGGTCTAGTAAATGGATCCATATTTCAAATGCCACCCTATAATGGTATAGATTTGGCCGCATATGATGTGGTGGTTGTGTCCACTAATTACAGATTAGGTCCGTTTGGCTTCTTGTATGGGGATCGGGAGGACGCGCCCGGAAATGTGGGCTATTATGACCAGTTATTGGCAATTAAATGGGTATTAAATACATTGAAATTGTATTTAAATTTATAAATTTTTATAATTTATGAATAATTAATTACAGGTCAGAGAAAATATCCATCAATTTGGTGGAGATAGGGGTCGGATCACTATATTTGGTGAGAGCGCCGGCAGTAGATCGGTGTCGTCACAAATATTAAGCCCACTATCAAAGGGTCTGTTTAAGAGGGCTATTATGCAAAGTGGGGCCCATTTGTATAACAAGGACAGGGAGCCCCTTAATAACATTGAAGCCCTTTCGGAGGCCAAACAAATGGCAAAACATCTTAATTGTAGTGAAACTGAAGATTGGTTGCAGTGTTTGCGAAAAGTGGACGCAAAGGATATCTTGAATTTAGAAAAATCCTTTTCGTCGCCAGTGTTTGGCACCGAGTTTTTGCCCGTTTATACACATAAGGCACTCGACGATCATCTATTAAATTATGGTTTGATTTACATTATAATTAAAATTATTATTAAATTCATGCAAAAATTGTGTACATTTTTATACAGATATAGACTTAATGTCAGGGCTAACCAGAAATGAAGGCCCACTTCTGGTAGATCTGGTGTTAAAACAAATTAATTTACAAACTGTAGACGACTTTAAAAAGTACGTGAAAGTCGGGGATAAGTTATACCATGGATTAGATGTGCAAAAGGTGTCAAACTTTTATCTGAATGGTGTGAACACGAGTAGTCCGGCAGCCATTCGTAGGGCTTATACTGACTTTTTTGGTGATTTAA